CTACATAGTTGAAAGTGGACGATGTCAGTTGTACCAACATTCACCATGAAGCTGCTTGGACTTTTGCTGGTTTTCGGCCTTGGGGTCGCCAGCGCAGGTTAGTACAGGACCAGGAGAATGCAATGTCAGTGTATAGAGATAGTTCAGGGATAAGAGAACACAATGTCAGTAGATACAGAAAGTTAAGGGCCGAGGGAACGCAATGCCAGTGGACATGGAAAGTTCAGGCCAAAAGAATAAAAAATAAGTATAGAGAGAATAAAACTGACCACCTTCTTAATGATAATGGTTAGTACCAGCGAAGTACCGATAGGTTTCATTTTTTACTCGAACTCCGTTCAACTACTTTATAATGTTGGAATACAAATAAAGGCTTAATACCACAACTAGAAAACAAACAACAGCTCTTAATTTCTAATTTCTAATGCAAATGGCTCTTAACTTCAAATTTCTAATGCAAACAATGGCTCTTAATTTCAAATTTCGAAGCCAGTCAACAGCTGTTAATTTCAAATTTCGAAACCAGTCAACAGCTGTTAATTTCAAATTTCGAAAGCAATCAACGGCTCTGAATTTAAAATTTCGAAAGCAATCAACGTCTCTTAATTTCAAATTTCGAAACCAATCAACGGCTCTTAATTTCAGTTTCGAAAGCAATCAACGGTTTTTAATTTCGAACCTGGAAAACCAACAAAAGCTATTCAGAGGAAAGGATAAGCGAGTGAGATAGTATACTCTTTAGTCGCTAAAGCTCTTGTGATCTAAGTGTAAACAAGATCAAACTTAAATCAAAGTGGACATGGCATAAGGATACGCACCTTTCGGGAAGAAAGTACACACGTCTAAAAATTTCACTGAGATAAGCAAACGTGTTGATGTAACTTTTAAGGTATGAAATATTTCAGTTTATACATGGATACACACACACACACACACACACACACACACACACACACACACACACACACACACACACACACACACACACACACACATATGTGTGTGTGTGTGTGTGTGTGTGTGTGTGTGTGTGTGTGTGTGTGTGTGTGTGTGTGTGTGTGTGTGTGTGTGTGTGTGTGTGTGTGTGTGTGTGTGTGTGTGTGTGTGTGTGTATGTGTGTGCGTGTGCGTGTGCGTGTGCGTTTGCGTGTGTATGTAATTAGGGTTGAGAAATATGAGTGAAAAAGATGAAGTAAATTAATTATCTATTCGCTGTGAAACATGACATGTGTAAGATTTTACTTTATTTTATTTTTTTGAATCGGGTCTTCATCTCTGAAATCTAATGACATACACGATACGTTTTTAATACCTTTAACTTCTCGTATATTCTAAAATGAGTTTGACGTCTTGTGTAATTATCCGATGTGATTAACGCGTTTCCATAAACAAGTTAATTAACTGTCCTCAACTTCACCAAACTTCCCTTACGCACTTGGTGTAGTTAATTAGTTAGTGAACGAAATTTAGTGTTTAATAACAGAAGAGCGACCACTGAAACGAGAAATTTGATAGTAATCCATGAATAGTAGTGATGATAATAACTAATAGTATTATCAATCGTGGGAATATCAAATAATAAATGCAAATTTTCTTACAGGCCCTCTGTTCTCCTTATGACATTATTATTAATTCTTCTTTTTTATTATTATTATTACTATATTATATCATTGTTATTGTTGTTATTATCATTATTCTTATTACTATTATTATCGTTATTATTATTATTATTGTTATTATAATTATTATTATCATTATCATTATTATCATTATGATCATTATCATTATTGCTATTGCTATTATTATTATTATGATTATCATTATTATTATTATTATGGCAATTGTTTTTCTATAACAATTCCTTTTCGATCACAATCACCCACGGCTTACATGATCACAGACCAACTACTACACAGACCTCGCGCTTTCTTGATCTGGCGTCTGGCAATTGGCTGGGAATCCACTGTGGTGACGAAAGCATGTGTACAAACAATAGGAATATCTCACACGGTTTCGGAAAGTATGCTTAGTGTGTAGTGTTTTACGTAAAATCTAATTTGGTTAATAATAGAAGTCATGGTTTACTTGGATGAAATAAAAAGGAAATAGTTACAACTTCTTACTTATTACTGATTAAACAAACCGGTAAATCCATATGATGTGAGAAATGCATCTTTCCTAAGCATATAATCACAGTCTGTGATTTCGAAAGAAAACAGAGAGCAATAACAAACACATTATTACAAGAGTAACTACATAAAAATATCTAGTGCATCACAGTGTAAACGAAAAGTTCAAGTATATCCCAATTATTTGCAGATCAAAACTCGTATGAAAAAGAAAACCCCAAAAAGTAGAGAAAGAAAGAACGAAACCGACAAAAAAGACGAACATAAACCAAACGACGAACCAGCAAATAGACGAAAAAAATAATAACCATATCGTCGCATATCAATGCGAAGTCCTCTGCGATGGGAGTTTGCGAAGGCGATCGCATTGTT